CCAAACACTTTCACTCAAAATGGAAGTATGCTCAAGAACTATCAGAATTTTGTTAGTTGTCCGTTCGTTTGATAGACTGAAGGCCTAAATGTGAATTGAGCACTAGTTTTGGCAGGGCGCTTAACTTCATTTCATCATGCATTCCAGAAAGCCGTTCTTGTCCTTGCATTTATGCAAGACCCATAACCAGTTTCATTTGGGCTGTTGCTATGCCTATATGGATAGGAAACTCCTGCTCTACTTTGCGTTACACGTCAGGGAAGACAGGTCTTTGCTCAAAGGCATTCGTGTGTCTGATATTGAGCTCGAAAGCATGCCACTGAAGTGACTAAAGTAGGTGTTTATTGGTCGAAAATTTCCAGCATACTATTGCATACTGTATCAACCATCATGTGTACTGCTGTAGTAAGTATAATTTCACTTTAATAAGTTGTCACTATGTCCTAAGTTTGGCAGTACTAGGTGCGCTCTATAATTTTTCTCTGTCACTAAGACAAGGTTGCGAAAACGAGGTCAATACAACGCCATACAACTAAAGGAGAATGTGACGAAATAGCAGGCCAAACTATCTTGGTATTCATATCTATATTATTTGATACTTAGTTAAGAAAGCTTTATTTGGTATACAGAAAGCAAATGGTTCTGGATGAATTTCCTGATATATTATCGTTTAATTGACTCCCTATTCTTGTGACTCGATTCTTATGTGGGTCTTATCGGAATATCATGGCGGATTGCCTTTGGTTTACTGTTTTATTTTTCATGGGATCCTCACTCTGACACCTTTCTTCGGTTGCTGTGCAAATGTGCCGACCTGTTGGTTGTCATGGTTGGTTTCTTGACTCCGTCAAGTGGCATTACATTTTCACTTGTACCGAAGAGAGCTGCCCACGAGGACGGTGATGGCATTAAAGCCCTATTCAATGTCTTGAGAAGAGCTCTCCTTCTGCAAGTATGACACTGAAAATCATTGTAGGATTCTTCTTCCTACCTCGATTCGGGCTGCTTAAGACGAAACATTTGCGCAGCGATTCGGATATAACGGAAATTTTTTTCTTCTCTGTATCAATGCCCCCAAATTCATTTTTGCGAGCCTCTGTTCCACTGTAGGCATCTCAGATGGCTGTCGGCGCGAGCGTAAGGAATACTGTAGTACCCCTACATGTGTCTGATTCATAAATCTCCCAGTCATGCCTTCATCGTGCGTACCCACATTTCGAGCCAACCTCTCCTGATCTCTCTCCTGAATCAGAGAGAACAGCCACACTTGGCAAGGCGGCGCTGAATTAGCTGTCACTTTTTGTAACCGAGGCAGTCGAGTGGCATCTTTTAGTATGCAGTATAGAAAAATGTTTCCATCAGAGATGGGCCTGTCAGGTTCATCATTTGGATCCCCATCCCTGACGGTGCTTTTGTTCCTCTCCCGTAGGGAGGAGCGCTCGAATTGTCTGTCGTCTAGCCCATTTGTGCTCCTCTCTTCTCTAATAAGCCGGACGAGAAATGGACACTTGACAGGATTAAATGAATACATTTGAGGCAAGTTGACCGCCTATTTGGGCACCTTAATCACGAGACAACTAGACGTGAAGCTGACGAGGCTGATTAGACTGGTTAGGCGCCATACGGGCACTCCTTTTCACAATACGATCTTTATCGTGACATTAGCTCTCACAATGCCTGGTCCGACTTTCTGTCTTCCCTAATTCTCTTTCGCCCACCTGAAGGCTACATCATGGTTACAGTTTGTCTCCAGCATATACTACTCTGTAGTCCCCCCGTTCATCCTTTATCAAAAGACCAGAAATGTGCACCATCCTTGCGGTAAAAACTTTGCTGTTGCGACCACATTGCTCAAACTGAATTGGGGCTCAAGTATGATCCGACGTCAAAGGAGTGACGGGTCAACTCTCTGATTCTGGAAGGGAGCCTGGAAATGGCTGCATTCGAAGCGAGAACTTTCAATATCGCATGCCACCAGCCATATTCCATTGTCCGATTTGATTTCTTCTGTTTTTATGCGGTCCCTCGATTGCCGGGTTAAGCTAGACTCAAAAAAGTGGGCTCTTCGTTTATCAACGCTGGGCTGAGGAGGCTCCGCTTTTCCATCAAGTTTAGCTTAGGCTTGATTCTCAAAAGATTTTATTGCTCGAGATAGGCGAAAGTCTATACCTCGTCCTGGTCTCAGCAGCCTTAAGGGGATGCGAGTCCTGCACTCGACGGTCGAAACGCGATACAACAAGAGCGGTTGGAATGACTGAAGGCAAGATGAGAATTGGTGGGCCTAGGTGATTCGTTAAATGATGCCAAAACTATATTTGACAGAGGTTATGTTTGCAGGAATGGAGTGAATTTAGAAGTAATAATTCTGTCATCGAATTTTATTGTGTAAAGCATACTAACAATGTGTTTCTCTCCATAGGGGGTTGCTATTTCAGCTTCACGTACTGGAGGAGAAGGCTTGTCAGGATACATGACAGACTAATCAAGCTTTTTTATGACTTCATCTTAAACAGATCGACTATCTGTCGGCCAAAGAGGAGATGTTGGCTGACAGGAAAGGAGATTATTTCCAGCAATCGTTCCCTTTTAGGATGCCGTTTTTTCTTCTCTGCTGTTAAGTGGGACGTGATGTCTTGATGGAGTCTCGGCGGAAGAGATAAAAAGCGTTTTGAGATCAAAAGGAGATAGGGGGTGGGGAAAATTCCATCTTAAACAAACCGAGTGATTATGGCTAGAGCCGGTAGTTTTATTAACTGTCAACGCATTATGAACCTGTTTCTTTTCAAAAGACAACCCCATTTCACGGTTTGTAGCCTCGATAGATCATCATAAAAGTTACCGAGGAGAGTGGATTTCTTAGACCCTCTCAAGATGTCACTCTCGACGATGCTTCGCCTGCGTGTAGAGCAATAGTACATTCCTTCCAACATAATTTTCGTCCAGAACCTAACATCTCTCGAAAGATTTTCGCGGCTCCCTTACGCCATTTTTCCTCATCTTGCACGAACTGGTAGAATTACACGAACACATATGTGCTTGAAAATCGCATTGTTTCCGTTTATCCATTACCAGAGTGACGGAACCGTTTTCTTGGGATAAGATTTTTATTCAAGGATGTTATCTTGTGTCGAAGGGACTGACTGGATGAGATTTTGAAGAGGTACAGCTTAGTGCTTACGACACGTTGCTTCTCTGAGAAACGTCGTAACAATGAAAATTTTGGGCATGTACCTGGTTAGTGAAGTGGTGTCTGGCAAAGACAGAGAGCACTGTGCGAAGTACTTTCTACCAAAACTAAATCAAACTCACCTTAAATGAGTTAAATGAGCCAATGATTATCATCTTACTCTTCCGAGTTCATCAAGCTTGTATGCTAGTCGTTCTCAGTATCTATGGGCAATGCTTCACCAATCAGATCGTGCTTTGGTCCCTTCCAAAGTGCGAAATAGCACCTATTTGGTAGAGCAAAAGCGATAACGAACTTAAGGCCAGTCAAAATACCCATTGTATTAACCCAATTTCGTTTAAGGTGATGAAGGACTGGTAGAAGAAGAAGTTTCCCAT